CAGTTTTACATCCATCATGCAAGAGAGCATAAGGGTAAACCCATCCATGGTTACTAAACTCAGGGCTACATTCCTGAAGGTAAGGAAAGAACCGTGGGATCGCCTTCTCTGCTCCTAGGGAAGCGTTGGCCTTCATTATTACCTCATTCATTCATTCAGCCCAAAATTTCATCCTTTTGAAAAGTTAGATACATTTTTTAGTATTTTTATGCACTGAAAATTTTTAGCAATTTTTCCATGAGATCATAGTTTCAAAAGATGCCAGAATATTAGAGTTTAGAGTTAATAATAAAGTTGGGGTTTCTTATAGAAAAATTGTTTTTAAATGAGGCAAAATTTTTTGCAGTTTACTAATGTGCTAAAAAGTGTGAGTCGCATGGTCTTCCATTATTCCCTACATATGAATTTAGTCCTTTTACTTATTTATTCAAGCAGTTCTTTTTTTTTTTAATTTTGGTGTAAATATACACAGCAGAACATACACCCATTCATCCATTTCTACAGGTGCATTTCAGTAACGTTGGTTACGCTCTTCACATTGTATCACCGTTCTTGCTGCCTTTACCCGTAAGGTTTCACCACCACTGACTTAGACTCACTACCCCCTGAACTTCTCATCTGTGCTTTAGAGTTACTGTTAACATCTTGATCTCATATAGATAATTCTTTAGAAGAGCTCAAGTCTCATGGTGAACATTGGTTACTAGTTTAGCTAAACAGTTGTTTAAAGATAACTTTAGGAGATAATTTCAGTTCATGGTTTGAAGATTTCAAACAATTTTTATTGAGTCCCTCTTACAAACTAGGGTCTACTCGAAAGATTAGAGAGTACTGGTGAACAACACAGACATGGCCCTTGCTTAAATGAACAAATAATTTATTCGCTGTTTTGTGAAGGAGTTATCGATTCTGAGATGTACTTTTGTTCGTATTTTAGTATCTGTAATTGGGAAAGGGTTTTATAATTGATGGCATGTCATAGTTTACTTGTCAGCATTTTTTTTCTTTCTTAGTGGTGCATAAAATAACGGCACTTCTTAACTCTCAGTGCCTCTTAGATTGGATTAAGTACAGTAGTCCATCAGTCGAAATGTCTGATATCCATAAACCAAAAACCAAAACCCTTGCTTTTGAGTCAATTTCAACTCATAGTGACCGTCTAGGAGAGGGTAGAACTGCCCCGTAGGGTTTCCAAGGAGCAGCTCGTGGATTTGAACTGCTGACTTTTTGGTTAGCAGGCAAACGCTTAACTACTGTGCCACCAGGGCTCCCTGATATCCATAAAGAAGTGGTTTTCTTCTGTAGCACAATGGTTCTCAGACTTGAACCTGCATCAGAAGCACCTGGAGGACTTGTTAAAACGCAGAAGGCTGGCTCCACCCCCAGAG